TCTTTTGAACTTTGTGTAATAAAACCATGAAACACCAACAACGCACAGAAAGCACCTTCTGCCAGCAGGTACTTTTAGTAACAGAAAGAACAGGAAATGAAAGAACAACACTAGGGCCAGGACTGGTCATTTTTATAATGAAAATTTTGAAAATGTGTACACAAAAGCAAAGAAAGGAGCAAAAATGAACTGTGAGGCCTGGATCTTTGAAAAGCCTGAGTCGGGGAGGAGAGAGAGAATGAGGGGACGGGGGTGCGGGGGGACCGGTGCTGCAGAGGAGGGTCCTTTCCAGCTCTCCTGGCCTCACTGCTCACAGGGCAGAGCCAGGCCACCCCCAGTGCAGGCCCTACCACACATCTGCAGAGCACGGTCATGGCCTCAGCTCTCACACCCTCAGCACCTGGGTGACCGAACTCCCCTCTGTACTCAAAGCCCCCAGAACGTTCCCCTCCTCCTCCAGAAGTCCCAACTGAGAGCTGTAACCTCGTAAACGTTTAACACCTATGTTCCCCGTCTTCTTTCACTCTGATCACGTCTGTACCGGTGCAAACTCTGCACGATGTATGAAGTACACACAAATATGCTCTGAATTCATCGTTGCCGCCTTTCTGTTCGGCCCTGTGCGTCACTCACAAGGAGTCTGTCACCGACAGAGGACAGAGCCAGTCTCCACATTTTCATTTTGCTCCAACGTACGCAGAACACCCTTTGTTTAAGATGCCTTTTCATACTCTTGCCCTCTAGCAACGTCCTAAGTGAGTAACCTGAAGTTCTGCAGGTGACCTGACTCACCCAGGGTCGGGTGAGCAGTTCCAGACCTCAACCTGGGGTCGAAACTCCAAGCCCCTGCAGCCACCAGAATGCCTCTGTCACCAAGAACTTCTTAAGAGTCTTCCAACCTCACCACAAAAAACTAGGGAGAAGGGGAGGGTGTAGCTCGGTGGTAGAGCGTATGCTTAGCTTGCATGAGGTCCTGGGTTCAATCCTCAGTACCTCCAATAAAACAAAAAAACTTTTAATGCAAAGAAAACGCAGCATGTCAAAATATCAAGATGACAAATTTGGTTAAAACTAGAAGGTCAAGCTCAACTTTTAAAAGGATAAAAAGCTATTTTGAATAACTGGTTTCACCTCATCCCTGTCTATAATGTGCTGTGATAACATCAGGCCTGTGTGGACATTAATCAGTTATGAAACAGCACCTTCAAGGAGTGACTTTTCTTATTGACCTGAAATCATGAAACCATGAAAGTTACATCTGACTGTAAAGAGTCACTCAGTCACCTGACTGCAGCTGTGGTCACTTAATCACATCCTAAGGCCAATCAAGTAAACACTGTGAGAGCTTAAGGGGGCAATCATGTTTCAAAATTACGCAGAGTAAATCTCATCTTTCCTGTCTAATAAAAGTCACTTCCTATAAAACAGAAGTTCAGAATATATAAGCAATAAATGAACAGTGACAATGTTATCCATTGCAATGGTCCACCTGGAGGGATATTACGTAACTCTTGCACAAAATCCACAAAGTTGACAGAACACTGACAGCTACTCCATTTTTACTTTGTGGCTCAACTCCAAAGTGTTGCCAGGAAGGGACGATTCAGGCATCTGCCGACCAGTTTCTGGAGCCGTGGGTAGACAGGGGCGAGAGGAAACACACACAGGTTTTTAAAGTGGTAAGTTTTTTCACCCTCGAGCAGGCCAAGGACCTCTGCCTCTATAGGTAAGTATAAATCCCTGTGCCCACCCTTACACCCCGACTAGCCATGGCTCATGCAACCGCATGGGGTCGCGTGGACCCCAGGCCGGCCTGCGGTCCCTCCAGCACAGAGCTCACAGCCGGGGTTCTCGACCAACCCCGTTATCCCCGGACCCACGGTAAGTGGGCTGCCCCGAGGCCTCGGCCGGCTCCGGCACCCGCACTGTGCGTCCGGGGCAGGGCGCACCCCGAGGTGTCCTAGCGCCTCCCACAAAACCTGGGGTGGGGAGGCAGCCCGGACTCGGCGGGGCGGGGGGACTTGGCTAGCTCGGGGGCAGATGGGCAGAAGTGCAAGCTTCACAGGAAAAAATAAA